TGAGCATGCTTGTTTAACATCCTTTCTCTAAAAAGTGGAGCTTAATGTTCAGTTTAAATTCAGCAGATAAGAAAAGTTGAAAAGTTAACTTTTCAAAATATGACAAATTTAAAGTTTCTTTAAAGACTTATTATAACACTGTTCTGTCTAAGGCAGAACAATTTGACCAGATTCACTCTCTGACAATAGATGGCACTTTTAAAAAAGCAAGTATAATCTGGTTATTCTGAGTCAATGCAGTTAGTAACTTTTCTGGCGCCGCTTTTCACAGAGAAGAAAAGTCAGTATTTACATGTTTTCAAAAAGCCGTTCAGATTTTTGTATGGGGGTGTAACGGTTCACAAAATTCACGGTTCGATACGATACACTTGTGTCACGGTTCGGTACGTTTTCAATACAGCAAAAAGAAAGAAATGCCAGAGAAATTTCCTTGATTTAATTTTGTAATTATATTTTTTATTAAAACTAACATCATAAAATATGATATTTTTTTACTTTGAGCAATGATGGAGCTATACTTGACTTTTCTTAGGAGCATATAAAACAAAACAGCTCCTTAGACAAAATGAAATGTAATATTGTAGTAATATTACAAACAAAGGTTTATTTTAGTTCAGATTAACATTTGAGGGCAGTAATTGTATTCATAATGTCAAAATAAAACCGACGTGATGTTACTTGAAAGCATTATAGCCTACTATTCCTGCCAAACTTCCATGGTTACAGTTAGTAGTGTTACTACAGTAAATCCATGGTGAATGTTGCTGATCTGTGGACACTGGATAGTTCATTCATGGCACAATGTTTCTTCCTGGTTTCCACGTCAGCGCTGTTTGAATCGTTAATAACGGAGAAATGTGATTGTTTCTCACTAGATCTCGCTAGTCGCAGCGATGTTATTACTTCAATGGCGAATTTTTTTCTCTACTGGATTTCGCTGTGTAGTAACAGTGCTGCTTGATTAAGATCGGCTCGCGCCAATATTAACCAACTGCAGAACCGCAGAACCATACATCATAGCAGTGTGAGGACGACAGCGCCAGCCTAACAGTCTGATGCCGGAAGTGGGCGGAGTTCATGTTTAACGCGGAGCACACAGAACCATAGATATATACACACAGAACAAGGAAAAGAAGAAGATAAGGTAACAAGTTCTATCTTTGATGGATGCAACATACTTAACATTATACGCTTATACAAAACGGCTCTAAGTATTTTTTAAGTTAATATTCAACAATAGTATTGATCTGTCATTAGGTGCGTTTCCATTACAGATTTGTGCAATACTTTAAACCTTATTTAACCCTTAATTACAAAACGAAAAATTAACGGTTGTTGTATTTTTAAAACGCAGTGTTGAACACCAAAATTTTAATGTTAATTGTACACAAAATGCTGTGCAAAAAAATTAATTTTTGTTTATGACTTTTTGCCCCTCATTAAACATTTAAAATAATCACAAATGAATATGATTTTTTTTTTTTTTTTTTTGATTTTACTGGTTTTCTAAGGCCAAATTAGAACCTGGAAATTATGTTTTTCCCGCAGTGCTGAATGAGAACCATATAACCACAGCCTACAGAAAAGTGATTTATTGGCGAGTTATAGGCTATAATAAATGTGTCTGAAAAATAACGAGGCATTTTAATTGTTTATTAATAAACTATTGTTTTCTAAATCAGTGTACATTTCAAGCTTTAGCCTACAGAGGCTATATTTTGTTTCAGTTCACGAAGATCATGAAACCGCGCCTAATGGTTTTATTTTATTTTACAAAAGCACAACGTTTTCTTGTTATTGTGAGTTTACACAAATAAAAGTAGTTGCGAATAATGTATTATTATTTTTTGTATGACCAGAAATGATAGAGTATTTTAAGTTGTTTCCACTGTTGATAGGAAAATGCAAATGTTCGCGCCCGCGCCTCCCTGTCATCCAGTGCGCGCCCCACACTCCGCACAAACACTTGGATATGCGTCAAAATCTTGTGTTTATTTGTGATAATCTTAGCCCTGTATTATGAATGAGATGTGACAAATTGCTTTGTTCCTTTTTTGGATAAAAGCGTCTTCTACATATGTAGCCTAATAAATGTTATAATAATGATGATAATTATTATTATTATTTGCTTATACCACGGACCCCAAACACACCGTGTCTTCTAAGTCAGGTGACTGTCAATGCGCAAAACCTGTTTCCATTGCAGTTTTGCGCAATATTCCTTTTTCGAATTGCCTGAAAAACCTCCTCATGCGAGCGTAGAAACTTTTTTACGATAAGCGAGAGTTTTTGCGAAATGGACGTGTTTCCATTGTGCGTATTTTCAATTCGCAATTTCAATTTGCGCAATTTAAAGGGTAATGGAAACGCGGCTAATGACACCATCATATGAGAACTGAACTGAGCTGGATGAAGACATCAGAATGGCTATATAGATTAAATAACTGAAATAATAACTTTTTTACAGCAGAAATGAATCAACACTGAACTTACTTAAGCTGAATTATTACACTATTTTGTTCTAGATCTGCAGAGGCAAACGTTGTTGCATTATTTTCCTATTATCCCTGTAAAGCTGCTTTGAAACAATCTGTATTGTAAAAAGTACTACATAATAAATGTGACTAAGTGAGAATTGTGACGAAGGCACTTGATCACGTATTGTTATTTTACAGTTGGATTGTATCACTTTGTTAGGTTACATATTCATGGTTTGTGATTTAATTTGTTGTTGACGTAGTATTGTACAGCATTTGTTAAATTTTCTGACCATGAGAATTGCATTAATTGTATTTTATTTCACCTATAGGAGCACATAACGATCTTTTGATATTTCAGAGGAAAAAACTCATTTTATTTAAATAAATCATTTTTGTTTTTTCAGTCTATCATGTAATTGTTGTGTCTATGAAAAAAATTGTTGGTTGAGTATTAAAAATTATTTTCAATTAAATCATATGTTCAAATGCTCAAGCTTTGTTTTCATTGTTTTGTTTTTTTTGTTTGTTTTTTAAGTTTTGTTCAATTATTTATATTGTAAACGTAAGTGGGAAGAGGAACTTGGTGAATCTATTCCAGATGATTTATGGAAAGAAAGTCTTGAAAGCATACATAATTGTTCAGACAACGCAAGACATTGTCTTGTCCAATTTAAAATTATACATAGGCTTCATTACTCAAAGGAGAAACTACATAACATATACCCAAAGGTGTCACCTACGTGTGATAAGTGCCACTCTTCCGTAGCAACACTTCTCCATAGTTTTGCTCTATGCCCAAGGGTCCAATTGTTCTGGATTGATATATGTAACACATTATGTCTGAGGTCATAAATACTTTAATCGAACCTGAGCCCATGTTCATCATTCTTGGAATTTCTGAGACCTTCAGGAAATTGAGTGCGGCACAGCAGCGTTTTATTTCTTATTGTTTCATAATAGCAAAGAGATTAATCCTCATTTTATGGAAGAGCACAACTGTACCTACCTCTAAGATGTGGTTAGAGGATTTAACTAACACACTTCATTTAGAAAGGATAAGGTATACGCTAAGAGACAGGCTCAACTTATTCAATAAAACATGGAAACCCCTCATATCATACCTAAAAACTAAAAATCCAGTACAACAGTCCACATCCTAACACACGATATATGACAATTGTAATGGTTTTTGAGTGAAGGTCTCTACGAGGAAGGGTGGATGGGGTGGAGATACATAGGAAGGGGTTAGGCGGGCGGATAGGGAGTGGGGATAGTGTGAGGTTGTTCTTGTTTTTGTTTTTGTTTTTTGTATTGTCATTATTTGTCTTGCTTTGTCTTGTTTTAATGTTGTACCACTTTATTTGTACTGTTTTTATTTTTATTTTTATTTAGTTAAAAAAATTCTCTGAATGTACAAGTTTAATAAAAAAAAAAATGTTTGAAAGTAATTATTTATATTGTTAATCTTTATAAGACTCAACAAAACAAATGGATAAAGTTTAATTTTAACTTTTAAAAACTATTAACATTTGTTCTCTTACGAGAGGTTCTCTCATATTGCGTAAGCTAGCTTACGCTACGGGAAAGATTAATCTTTTCGAGATATTGAAGCCAAAAATTATCCTTAATTTTGTATTTATTGTCAACGCAGTGCAGCAGCTGCCAGACCTAGAGCGGGCTATCTAGCGAGCTCATAGGCTGCTCTGCGGCAACTGCAGCAGCCTATCAGTGAACCTGGCGTGATGTCACGCCCAATGAGAGGCGCTCGCGCACTCATGGCATCACAGCCCGCCAGAATGGGCGTGGCTATGTGTATATAAGCGAGGTTTAGAGGCTGCTTCCCTGATTTTCAATTAAAATTATTAAATTATAATTTAATAATTAATTATTAAATAATTATTAAAATTATTTTCAATTAAATCATGTGTTCAAATGCTCAAGCTTTGTTTTCATTGTTTTTTTGTTGTTGTTTTTTTTTAAGCTTTGTTCAATTTATATTGTTAATCTTTATAAGACTCAACAAAACAAATGGATAAAGTTTAATTTTAACTTTTAAAAACTATTGATAGACCTATATATATTGTCTTTTGTTAATAGGACAAAACATAATTCTTATCTTTTATAGCCTACTATTTGATTTTATATATAAATATATATATATATATATATATTCAATTAAATCGTTTAAAAAAGTCTTTATAATAACATTGTTTTAAACTTTAAAACATTCCAAAACACGGAAGTAGCGCAATGCCTTGCCACGCCCACTTCCGGCATCAGACTGTTAGGCTGGCGCTGTCGTCCTCACACTGCTATGACGTATGGTTCTGCAGTTAGACCTATCTCGCTCGCGCTGCATTGGTCCAAACTGATAAACGGTCCGTCAACCACACAATAACGAGTAGCTCAGTTTCGTTCCGCTTACATCTAAAATTGGACAAATATACGTTATCATTACCAGACACATTTTCCATATCGATGCACACCTAATTTAAACTCTTGTGTCTGATTTCTTTTCAGCTTCTGTTAACGTGTTGGTGCCCAACTGTAAGATCTACAATGATGCGAGCTGTGATATCTCAGCAGACGGGCAGCTGCTGGCTGTATTCATTCCCAGCAGTCAGAGGGGTTTCCCTGATGAGGGCATTTTGGCTGTGTACTCCCTCGCCCCGCACAACCTGGGAGAGATGCTCTACTCCAAGAGATTTGGTGAGTAACCCTGAGACATAAACTGCTTGACCTCACAAGGGCTGTTGGTTTGCGAAAACATGACTCGCCTCCCTGTGGTTATTAGGGTTTAATACACTGATTGAGCCATCAGAACTAAAATTATTTTAAACTTGTGCTTGCTTAAATCAAATGCAAAGGGACACAGCTTTTCGTATTGTGCTCTCACTTTCCCTCTAATTGGCTGAACAGACAGCAGTGATGGGGCTCTTTTAGAGGCAGCTTTAATTAGATAGTCCCCATTTAAATGCCAAATGAAGGCAGGGATGGGACGAGGCTGCTAATGGAAACCAATGATGAGGAAGTATGAGTCCTGCTTGTTTTAGATTAAACTGATTTGAAACGCTGTTCTCCCTCTCTCTGCGGGTTGATCATCGCCATCGGCTGTACAGGTCTCAAAGAACTATAATTGATCCTATCCAGTAACAGTGAATTAATGAAAGCAATCAACCAGGAAGCCTCAATACTAAACCACTCGTTTTCATTTGCTGATCACATCACCAGCACTCTTTGGCTCTCTAGCTCATGCACATGCCAAGCAAGACTGATTTCTAAAGTTAAAATGGCTACAAAATTCAATTACGTTTTAAGATGAGAAATTATATCAGCTATAATTACAGTCTGAGCAGGTCTAGGTGTGAACTTTTTTAATTTCATGCTTTAAAAGTCTGAATGCTCTGGTTATAACATTTTAGAATTAATAGTTTCAAAATGCATTTCCTGGATTTTCATAATTTTAGTTTAGTTCTTACATCAGGCTTACTGCTATGATTTTACTTTTTTTAAGTGTACTTAGTAATTGTTATAGTTTAAATACTGCTCACTCAGCTCACTCAGTGTTTTATTAGTTTATCGTATTGTTGGTTTAGCAAAAAAATGTAAGACCAAATACAGCCCTGCAACCCATTCTTGTTGAATTTATTACTTTACATAATTGTGCTAATTTTGCAATGGTTTGGCTTAGGCTGTAGTTTTAAGTCGATGTTTCTGTATTAGATTGTCTCTGTTTGTCATGGTACAGCTGTGAATAACTGCACTGTGTGTTTGTCACAGGTCCAAATGCCATCTCTGTCAGTTTGTCTCCGATGGGTCGTTACGTGATGGTGGGTCTGGCGTCTCGTCGCATCCTGCTGCATCAGATCACCGATCACATGGTGGCACAGGTCTTCAGACTGCAGCAGCCCCACGGAGGAGAGACGTCCATGAGGGTACGTCACTTATGACCTCACATCTTCTTTAGAGACTGCCACTGCTCTCAGTACTCAATGAAATAAAAAAGCAAAGAAAAGTACTATTTGCTATTAAAACAAATTGCCTTCCTATGTAGGTTGTGCACTTTTCTGTCAGTCTATTCAGTGTAATAAAATAATAAAGGCCAAAAAAAAAAAATCCTTTGCCTTCAAAGACACGAACTTCCATCTAAATATATTTATTTATTCGGGACAGTGCACATTAATGAACAATCTTACACTCGTGTAGAGACTGTAAATGAGCCAGATTATAGCATAAAAGCTAAAAAATTGTATCTGTAGTCCCGAGGCAGGAAGACAACTACACAAAAGGATAATATGACAATATACAGTATCAGTCAAGAAAATATTGACACGCATTCAGACAAATTGCATTTCATCAATAAAATTAATCAAAATGAGGACATAACTGGGACCTTTTAAGAAACTGTTTAAGATGCTTTTTAAATGTGCAATAAGTGGGACATTCTCTAATGTTTGCTGGGAGGCTGTGTGTATGTATATATATTATTGTTTCTTTTTAAATGAAACTACAAATTTTCCATTTTGGTGGAGAGTCCAGATGGGCCACAAAACCCTTTTACTTTTTTTTTTACTTTAGTCAATTTAGTCATTCTTTTCATGACATTTGATTATTGTGAAGCTTGGATATTATTGGTGGACTGCCACTGCCCTATGTAGATCAGCTCTCTGTGCTCTCTACAGCAGAGGGGGAGGGGGAGGGGGAGGGGGGGGGGGAGGCCTGGGGTTTAGAAAAGCCTTTGAGTAGGAACCTGACCTAGATACGCTCTCTTAGAAATAGAGAGGGAGAGAGAAGTGGGAAAAATGTGTATTTGTGTGGAGCGAAGGGCATAAATGGAAATATCTACATGGTTGACTTTTGTTTTTGTAAGCTGTGCTCATGGCAGGATTCTGAACGTGGATTAATTTGAGAGCGATGGAGCAGGAGAGCTTCATTTTTATCCTTGTTCATTCTCTAAACATACAACACCAAATCTCTCAGCAGAGTTTGGAAAGCCGTTCAGTGAGCGCTTGTTGGTTTTCATGGGTGTTTGGTGTTATTTCACCAGCACTCCCCACTTTAGTCTCTTTGTGTTTCATGCTGAGCCTAATTTGTATGATAAATATGAAGCTTCCTCTTAATTAGGCTTACATTAATGTCTTTGTGTTTATCAGAAACTGTGATGCATTAAAATAAGTTAGTACCCTTTTTATTGCTGCTAGAGCGGTGTTTAGAATATGGCCCATACATTAATTCAGTCTCTCTTAATGACACTCAGGCACTCTTTCTCAGCTCTAATGGTTATTGTATATCACTACCACAGGTAATGTAATGAAGTGGACAATGCAATAGTGTTATGTCTAGAGTCTTTGAGTCTTTGAACTCCACAGGTCTCCTGACTGTCAGCCTTTCACACATCTCTGTGTGAAATATTTTTTCCAGGTCTGCTTTCATTAAATTTTCTCTCTGCATTAGCCTGGGAAAACCCAGACAACTTCCGGCAAATTTAGATTTGCTCTGAAAGTTAGTCTGGCAAAGAGCTCATTCAAGCTCATTTCCAATCCGCCGAAATCGCGGCACCAATCAGAAACGTTGGGGGCGGGCTTTACACGATGACGACAGCGCTGGGATTTTGAACATGATTTTGAAGCAGATTTTGTAGCCAACATTACAGAGATGGATGCCGCCGTCGAACATCACTCGTTCGAATCAGCTATCGCGTCTGTTTTAAACGATTTGAACGTTTCCTTTTAGTTAAAAACCGAGCAAAGAACAACACTCGGAGATGTTTTTCCGCCGCTCTGCATACGTCATCTCCTTCATCGCTCTGATTGGTTTTAGGTCTATCCGCGACGTCCGTTGGTGACGCCCCTCTGGAAATGATTTGTCTATGATGCTTTGCCAGACCATAACTCAGTTACAACTGAGAATGGTCTGGTTTTAACCAGGCTATCTCTGCATTGTATGTGAGACTGAAATGAGACTTGTCTGTATGTAAGTTTCTTGAACTGCTTATGGAGGCCTTAAACATCACCGTAGAAGTTGCATGAACCAAAACCATTTGAACTGTCAGATTAAGTTAAAGTAGGAGCTCAGGTTCTGTGTGTGCTGTTGAACAATCTAAAATTCAAGATTTTGTGAGAAAGAAAAAAAACACCTTTTTAAGTGTAGGTCACAAGTAAATTAAGTTTTGGTCACAAGAACACAAGGCAGAACAAATAATACATGGCCTCTTAGGGCTTCTGTACACTGTTACATGGAGTAAAATGTACAACTAATTTATTTTTAAGAAATTCAAATATATCTAGATTTATTGAATGTCTGAATGAATGAATGTATTGAATGATACTATGTGAATGTAAAACACCAGCACCGTAAAACGACAACAGATTTCTGCTATGAATCACAGGAAAAAACGTGGACTGGTGCAAAATGCATATTAACCACTACATACATTTGCCATAGCAACGTCCTCACGGTGTGCCTCATTTCAGCTGTAACTATAGCAACAGCACATTTAATACATTTCCTTTTTTTGCTTTTTTGGTAGTTTGTTTATAGAGACGTTTCTCATTCACAGTATGTTTATTTATTAGTTTCCATCATTTTATATGTAATTTGATTATGTTGTTTCCCCCTCATGTCTTTGTTTATTAGAGGAGGTCTTTTTGTTTGTTTATTTGAAGTGATATTTTCTCATATGGTAGTTATTGAATGAATTTAATGCGTCAGCATCGTTAATGTGTCTGCTTATTACCAGGATTAATTATACACTGGAGTGCAGAGAGAAAGAAAATGAACAAAGGTTAGCCCAAGGCTCTGTCTCCAGCTTTGAACAACTTTGAACTCTGAACAACTTTTTGTACATATTCATTTTTTTATGTAATAATCAATTTCATAGAAAAGTACTGGTCATGCCACTTACCTGCCAATGTTCTCTAGTAGTGCTGACATGTGATTTCATATTAGGTTGTTTTTTAGATTGAAAACTTGCAGTTAATGTTTTTATGAGCAGTGTAATATTTAAAGTCCCCCTGTGCTGAAAAGCTTATAATGCTGTTTATATGTCCATGTGGTCTTTCTTCCCTTAAAGGATTAGTTCACTTCAAAATTAAAATTCTGTCATCATTTACTCACCCTCAAGTTGTTTCAAACCTGTATGAATTTCTTTCTTTTTCTGAACACAAAGGAAGATATTTTGAAGAATGTCGGTAACCAAACAGTTGATGTACCCCATTGACTTCCATGGTATTTTTTTTTCCTACAATGGAAGTTAATGGGGTACATCAACTGTTTGGTTACCGACATTCTTCAAAATATCTTCCTTTGTAAATGAAGGGTGAGTAAATGATGACAGAATTGTAGTTTTGAAGTGAACTATTTCTTTAAATACACTGTTATATGCTTGTCCTGAATTTCCTCTGTCTAAAGTAAAGTGAGAGAGAAAGAGTTTGTCTGTTGATCACTCATCTGCAGATGAATGAGACCGCTTTCTCTTTCCCTGGCAGACATGAACTTGTCCTATTTTTGTCCTTTTTTCTAGAGCCAGTGGAGTGTAAGTAGTATGCCAAGGCTGACAGACAGGGACGGGGGAATGGATTGGAAAGAAAGAGAAAGAGTACTTTGGAGAAAGAGATTTGACTTTTCACAGTTTAGCCTCTTCTCAGTTATGCTAGCAGTGCTTGTCATATCTGACACAGACTGCAGTCTACAGCGGAGAGGATAATGGAAGGTTTTGGTGACTGATAGAATGAGTGAATTTACTAAGAGGGCTGTGGGTTTAAACAGTTTAAACAGCTGTGTTCTTGTATGTTTTTCAGAGGGTGTTTGATGTGGTGTATCCAATGGCCCCAGACCAGCGGAGACATGTCAGTATAAATTCTGCACGTTGGCTGCCAGAACCGGGGCTTGGGCTTGCTTATGGAACCAACAAAGGAGATCTGGTCATCTGCAGACCTGTGTGAGTCTCCTATCCATCCCTTCATAGTTCACTCAGCCCTCTTTGCGGGTCATAAATCACTTTTTCTTTCCTTTTTTGTTGCATTAAAGAATAAAAGTGCTGTTGTAAGAGTTTTTTTTTAAAAAAAACTTGGCTGGACTCCTCAAGATAATTGCTTGACAAATATAATCAGCACTTTACTCATCTGCATGTGGGTCATCAACAAATGAGAAATGATCCGTAATGTTAACCATGATAAAACAGATTGCAATGGTATATATGGTGTGCGTATAAAAATGTTTGGTTGTTCTGAAATGTTGAACTGTCTTTCCACTGCTTTGCCCATCTGTTTTTGTTTTCTGGGTGAGAACTGCACTGTTTAATGTTTATGTAAATGAATGTCATACATCTCAAATACCTTCTTGATTTTGTCAGTTCTTCAGCAGTTTAAAAAGAAGTTTTCCTACAAGCATTTGGTGTTTGTTAACGAAACAGACACTAATTAATTCACTTCAAGGATCATTTCCCTCCACTGTATTTGGTTGTATAATTTGCAGCTTGGCTGTGAATGTTGCTTTTCTGCAAGTTTGTCATAATTATCAACAAGGTTACTGTGGATACAAAAAGCCCACGTTGCCACACAAACATTGTTTCTCTAATGTAAACACGCTCTCACTTCATTAATGCAAACAGTTTTGTTAATTAGAGAAAGCAGAAAATGCACCATACACAAACTCAGGGCACAAACTTATTTATAGTTTATGTACTCAGTCGTGGTGTCCAGTGTTTAGAGACAGATAATATTGTGTGGCTTTGACACCAAAATGCCCAATCGCTTTAGTGATGACAGGAAATGATCTCTCTTAGTGTAATACACACAGTAATTAATGCACTACCACATAGGCCTAAAACAATTGTTGATTAATCGTCTGATCGCGGTTATTTGATCTAATTTCAATTATTTGAGAAATTTAATAACTGTAGTTTAAATTTAAATCACGTTTTGCCATTTAAATAACTGACATTTAAAGGGATACTTCAGGATTTAGCATTAAGCTTTGTATTAGTAGAAAACCTGTAGTATTTTCAAATTACCGTGCTTTCTACCCTCATATCCCCCTGGGGCGAGAAATGTATGTATTTTTTGTCTGGAAAAAATCCTCCGATGACGCAAAAATCGTCATTTAGCGTCAACGGAGGATTTTTTGGCCAGAGGCTAAAGACTACAGTCAGTAGAAGGAGCTGTTCCGCATGTTCTCAACCCGTCCATAGAGGGTGGGATCTCACTCACAGAATGTACACATAGTGTCAGACATCTTTTTTGGAAGCTAAGCTAGCAGGCTCTTGTTCTGTGGAGAAAGCTGAGTAACTTAGTAGGAGAAAGCTGAGTAGTAGGGGTTACCATTCATCCTCTTTTTTCCCGACATGTCCGGCCGTCGAGATCGTACAAAACGTCCGGGATTCAGCTTTTGCTTTCTGCAGTCGCCATTCATTGTTTACATGCACACCTTTTGTTTCAATCTAACTGAATTCATTCCGATTGGTGAATCTGAATGTAGTGTTTACATGAACGCTAAACAAGTGATCGGTTGATGTGCGTTTTAACATTGCTAAGAAAATTCCCGCTCCTCCGTGAGAGATACGAGACCGGTTCGTCTCACAGGTGTCGCTCATCAGTAATCACGCCACCGGCCTCGCGTCGTTCTCCCGCGGCCCTCAGTCTCGTCCTGCTCGCCACAGTAAACATAATGAATGACGACTGTAGAACGCAAAAGCCGAATCCCGGACATTTTGGGCGATCTCAAAATCCCGGGCAGACTCATCATGGAGACTCACTAGTAGCCTAGACTTGTTGTTTAACTACTGCGCTCCGTTACCGGTAGGCGTGGCCTCCTAGGGCAGCGAAGCAAGTGCATTCTGGGAGTTGTTGTCTTTCATCCACATAAGCCAAAAATACATTTTCTGGCTTTTCTCAGTCTAGAACCATTTTAAATACACATTCATCTTTCCAGAGTTGAAGTATCCCTTTAAGCGTGTAAAGAAATGTCATTAAATGTGCTCTGTCAAGTCTTTTTTTCCTGTGTGTAGAGAGAAGCAGGGGAGTCAGTTTTCGGCACCACAAAGGACCGTTATTTACTCTACCCAAAAATGGTTGCTTTATTTACTCACCTTTATGCAATCCCAGATATCTGTGACTTTCTTTCTTCTGTTTAACACAAACTGAGATTTTTAAAGAAATAAAAAATTCCTGTGAGTAATGCAAATGGATGGGTCTCTCAAAGTTGATGCTTCAAAAACCACACAAAACGAACACGGCAGTAACCCATACAATTCATACAATCCTTTTTTTTTAAATGGTTGTATGGATTTTTAAATTGGAAACTAAAACTGCCCGTAGGTGGCAGCAATTCATAGGCTATGTTCTGACTGCCAGTCCAAATCCGATTATTTGTGTATCCGGTTGGAATCTGATCTAAAATGATTGACGTCCACACTGAATCGCAACTGTTCAGGTCTGATTTGTGTGTCCATGCAGCTCTTTGGTTTTCCGGAATATCTGCATTGGTTTCTATGGCAATGACGAAAACAACAACCGCAACATGGATGGGGTTTGCAATACAGATGTTGTCTTATTTACAGCATGACGATGTGTAGCTGCCGCTCTGGACTACTGCATCTTTTGAGGCAGCAGCAGAAACATAGGAGGCTGGTATACAGTGGGTATAGAAAAGAATCACCCCCCTTTAAAATAATCACATTTTGTTGCTTTGCAGCCTGAAATGAAAACGGACAAAAATAATTTTTGTTTTATTCAGCTGTATTTACAACTTATAACATCCAAGTGAAAGATATAATACCAACTTGTCAGAATTTTTTTTTTACAAATAAAAAAACAGAATCACTGAGTTGGAAAAAGAATCACCCCCCTCCTAAAAATGACTTGTAAACCCAACCAGGTGTAGTTAATCACCTTCTCAATAGCACACAAAGCCAATTGACTTTCAAATGTGATCAGCTGTGGTCATTTTGATTAGCTCAGCATGAAACAAGCTTTTCCTGAAGAATTTCAGTCCTTGGTAGTGCAACTGAAGAAAACAATCAACTATGGGTGGCAAGGCATTGTCAAAAGATCTCCGGGATAAAGTTGTGGACAGGCACAAGTCAGGAGATGGATACAAAAAAATTTCAAAGGCCTAGAAGCACAGTGAAGTCTATTATTAAGAAGTGGAAGGTATTTGGTACAACACAGACCCTCCCTGGGTCAGGACGTCGCTCCAAACTGGATGAAAGAGCCAGGAGGAAACTGGTCAGAGAGGCTACCAAGAGGCCTACAGCAACTCTGAAGCAGTTGCAGGAATTCATGACAAAGAGTGGTCATTGTGTGCATGTGACAACAATACCACAAATTCTCCACAAATGTGATTGTATGGGAGGGTTGCAAGAAAAAAGCCACTCCTCAAGAAAGGCCACATGCAGTCACGACTGAGCTTTGTCAAAACACACCTTGAAGATTCTAAGGCCACGTGGAAAAAGGTGTTATGGTCAGATGAGACTAAAATTGAATTATTTGGCCTCAACGTCAAACGACATGTCTGGCGAAAATCCAATACAGCTCACCATCCAAATAACACCATTCCTACAGTAAAGCATGGAGGTGGTAATATCATGTTATGGGGTTGTTTCTCTGCAGCAGGGACTGGAGCACTAGTCAGGATAGAAGGAAAAATGGATGGGGCAAAATACCGTCAAATTCTTGAGGAAAATCTGCTGCTCTCTGCCAGAAAGTTGTCAATGGGAAGAAGATTTACCTTCCAACATGACAATGACCCAAAGCACACAGCAAAACTGACCACACAGTGGTTGAAGGAGAAAAAGGTGAATGTCCTTGCATGGCCTAGTCAGAGCCCAGACTTAAACCCCATTGAAAATCTGTGGAATGACTTGAAGACAGCAGTCCACAAACGGTCACCATCAAATTTAACTGAACTTGAGCAGTTCTGCAAAGAAGAGTGGTCAAATATTGCAACGTCTAGATGTCCAAAGTTAGTAGAGACATATCCCAACAGACTAAAGGCTGTAATTAAAGCAAAAGGTGGTTCAACAAAATACTGAAACAAGGGGGTGATCCTTTTTCCAACTCAGTGATTATGTGTTTTGATTTTTTGATTTTTTTCTGATATGTTGGTGTTATATCTTTCACTTGGATGTTATAAGTTGCACTGAGTAAATACAGCTGAATGAAACAAAAACTGTGTCTGTCTTAATTTTAGGCTGCAAAGCAACAAAATTGGATTATTTTAAAGGGGGGTGATTCTTTTCTATACCCACTGTATGTGGCTTTATTCCGTGCTGTTGTCTTTGACAGTTTTAATACATTTCTCCGTTACATATACAAAACATATCGTCATTTTCTGCTCATCCGGCACTTTGCAACAACACACCCTTGTTTCTGCAGCGACTTTCAGCATATTTCCTATAAAGACGTCTGACGTTTACGTTTTATGTGGCGTGAGACAGTCACATAAACCGCACGAAATACGGTCAGGGCAGTCAGACTGAAACGGATTTTCAGAAATGCGATTTGAATATGATTTCAAACCACATACGAATGTAGCTTGAAACGGATTTGTAAAATTTGCATTATATGTGATTTATTTTGCTGTTCACGCTAAATCTGATCAGATTTCAATCGGATATATACACAAAAATCGGATTTGGACTGACAGTCTGAACGTAGCCTTAATGATTGAGTCACTGAATCATTTATTTGATTTGTTCAAAACGGCTGAGTAAAAGCAAAGGGACTGTTCCCATTCAATTAGTTCACTCGGTACAATACATGACTATGGTATATCGCTCTATTGCACCATTTGCTAAAGACACCTTTATTCACACCTGAAAGGCCAATTACGCATGACAACATTTATATCCGGGGTTTATATGCTGTGGGTTACCCGCCCACAACATATAAATGCAGTTACATGCGTTATTTCCTTTGTTCTTCAGCTCCTCGTCGTGCT